ACCACGCCCAGAGAGCACTCGTGCTTCTCATCCTTCACCTGCAGGGGGAAGACCGCCGCCATTAGGACTGTCACCATGCTAAAGTGTTCAACCCGATGCCGATACTCAGGAAAATACTCAATAGCATTTTCGATACCACAAGGATAAAAACAAAGACCCCAAAGTGTAACTGAATTTTGACAGGTTAGTGTCTTTGGTTTCAAAGTTACTTATTACTGATGTTATGGTGGCCCACATTAATGACACTGACCCTAACCTTAACCTTGACCCTGACCCTAACCCTGACACTAACCCTGACCCTAATCCTAACCTAACCTAACCCTAAACCTAACCCTGACCCTAAACCAGATTAACCACGCCCAGAGAGCACTCATGCTTCTCATCCTTCACCTGCAGAAAAGACCGCCATCGTTCAACTCCATACCGATACTCAGGAAAATACTCGATACCATTTTCGATACCACAAGGATAGAAACAAAGACCCCAAAATTGAACTGAATTTTGACAGGAATTTTTGAAGAACTTCAAGATTCTGCTGCCAAAAGGAGCCACGGCATCCCCCGAGCAAATTACCCAACTATTTGAGAGGATGGAAATGGATAAGACCACCTACCAAATAGGAAAAACTAAGGTCAACCATCTTACTTGTATTTCATTTATCAGTGCTCATTCTCATGCTTTAACCACGCTCAGAGAGCACTCGTGCTTCTCATCCTTCACCTGCAGGGAAGACCGCCGTTATAGGCCACCATTAGGACTGTCACCATACTAAAGTGTTCAACTCCATACCGATACTCAGGAAAATATACTATACTCTATACCATTTTGATACCACAAGGATCTCCAGGTTAATGATTAAGGAGACCTGCAGCTGAACCTGCTCCTCCGGGGGTGAAATCTGAGGCCTTCCAGCCAAAACCTGACAGAGGAAAAAGCTTAGAGGGTTTTCCGGAGTGGAAATCCACTTTTTTTGGAGGGTTTTTGAGTGTGAACGGATCATCTGTGTGACTGAGAAGTAGAGTTGTCACGATACTAAAGTGTTCAACTCGATACCGGTACTCAGGAAAATATTCAATAGCATTTTCGATACCACAAGGATAAAAACAAAGACCCCAAAATTTAACTGAATTTTGACAGGTTAGTGTCTTTGGTTTCAAAGTTACTTATTACTGATATTATGGTGGCCCACATTAATGACCCTAACCCTAACAACGACCCTAACCCTAACCTAACTCTAGCCCTAACTCTGACCCTAACCCTAAACCAGATTAATGATCCTAAACCTGACCCTGACCCTAACCCTAACTCTTCATAATTGTGAGAAATAAATATATTTTGGTTAAACTTGTTTGGACTTATTGTACAAACCTATTTAACATCCACTATTTTAACATGATATTATGGATAGAGTTTAATTCAAGATTTGCAAGATTCATTTCTCTATTTTTAAATTAATGTCTATATTGCCATGTGGCATTACAATTTTCTTGCCTGGGATCTTCCTATTGGTGACCTAATCAAAATGGCCGACTTGGATGTGGGGGGGTTGGATCTCCATCCTTGACTTGATTAATGTTGGCGTTTTATTATTATCCATTAGCCACAGCTAGCAATTCAAGGCTAACGTCACGTTAATCATCATAAACAACGTAAATAAATACATAAATAAATAAATCAGAGAGAAAGGGGGGGTATCGGATCTTTTTGAAAATGAGTATCCTATCCGGATACAATGTTTAGTACGATACTTTTGACAACCCCAGCCACCATAGGCCACGCCTCCATAGGCCACGCCTCCATAGGCCACGCCTCCAAAGACCACGCCTCCAAAGGCCACGCCTCCACAGGCCACGCCTCCTACCTCCACCTCCAGCTCCTGGATCTTGGGGTTGTGGATGAGAAAGGTGAAGTTTTCCTCCCACAGGGGCTCGTTGGTCTTATATTTGGTCTGGAGGGAGACGCAGAGAAAGAGGGGAAGACGTTTTCAGGTCAGTGGGGTTTATTTCTGACCTTATTTCTGAGGATTAGAAACCGACTTCAGCCTCGATCTGCTCTCACCTTGCTCTCGAAGGACTTGTGTCCCACTGTGAACTGGACAAACGGACTGGGATCGCTGGTCACCTTTTTCCCAGACTGAGGAGAGAAAAACATGCTTGAAAAAACTGTAAAATCAAAGTAGCCTCAGATATTTCCACCATGAGAGGGAGTCTAAAGGTTTTTTTTTTACACAATTCAATCCAATTTAAGCCTTAACGATTTTAAAATATGAATTGTTAGGCTTTAAGGTGGAAATGCGTCAACTGAAAACAATCGGAAACTGTATCTCGAGCTAATTTGATGTTGTTTTAGTGTGAAAAAAAACACAAAACTCAGGAAAAAGGATACCAACAAGTTAAAGTTATAGTCCCACAAACCGGAAAATGCAGGAAAAACACGAGCAGATTAATTTGGGTGGAAGGATCAGAATCCAAACGTATGGGTGAATGTGTGAGGATGCAGTTTTTAGTCTGGGAGCATGATTAGTTTATGGCTTTATGGGTTATTCTGAAGGGGTCAGAGCATGGAGTCGGCTGGGGGATGTTTGGATTCAGCCGCTAAAACAGGATCCAAACACGTCCACACAAAAGGGGAAAAATAACACAGAACCACCGGCTTTACACGGTGGAAA